AAACTGCAGCACCTAATTTAACTATCAAGGTATACACAGAGAACTCCGCACAAGTGCTAGAGCAACACAAATATCAAATGAAATGCGAATTGAGACACGATACTTGTTTTATCGAAGTTCGGACTCGTTCGAGTCCTACTCTCCGTTGAGGGGGCATGGGCGACCAGTGAAGGTCAGCCCTAGAGGATACCACGAAGGTCACTCTAGCCGGAGTCTTTTCCAACTCCTTTTCCTCCTTCCACTAATTGATTCCGAGGCGGCGAGAATCGACCGTTACAAACTTTCCGAGGCACACCACAATCTCCGGGTGCTCTCCGTGACGTCTAACCGTCTAGGACCGAAGAGTCCAAGAGTAACAAATGCGAATCACGAGATTGACAATATGCACAAGTGCTCAAGTGGTTGGATGGCTCTCTTTTGAATTTCACTCAACCCACAAATTGATTTTGCAAGTTTGATCAATCACTCACTAAGAGAGGGTTGGCAAGGCTCAAAAGCGTGTGTCTAAGTCAAGAGAATCAATGACATCCAAAGGTGGAGGCTTGGGGTATTTATAGCCCCTTGAAAAACTAGCTGTTTTATAGTCGTTGCAATACGGACACGCCCCGGTATGCACGTCCGTATGACTCAGATCAAGCGCCAACGGTAACTAAGTTCTGATGAAGTTGTGAGGCCTCGGAACTCCAAGTATGCCGGGACTTCCGACCGTCGGAACTCCCGACTCAAGTCGGAACCCCGACCCTCAAAGCAATTTTGAAAAACATGTGGCGAGTTAAAGTTAGTGAGGTGTCGGAACTCCCGACGCATGTCGGAACTCCCGACCCTCACGGCTTTTGAAAACTAGCCGTTGGCTTCGGTCATCCATACGGACACGTCCGGGGTGTGAATCTGGACACGTCCCGTATGACCGAGACAGTGAAACCTCAAAGTGTGTTGAAGTGCGACGCGTGGAACTCCCGACCCATGCCCGGGACTCCGACCGTCGGAACTCCCGACCTACATCGGAACTCCCGAGCGAAGCAACCCGAGAACAACAATTTTGCATTCTTTGGACAAATCTGGGACACGTCCGGTATGAATAATCTAACACGTCCAGTATTGCGGATCAAAGAAGAAATCAGTTAGCACATTTGTCGCTCAAATAATCAAACCTCACATGGGTTGGCTTGAGCACTTATGAAACATTATCTATCAACATGATGCATCCCTCTTAATAGTACGGCATACCTATTAAACTCAAGATCAAAAGAAAAATGAATTTATACCACTTGAGTTGATTTCTTTTGAATTGATGCCGTCCCTTCCAATCTTCATCAAGTAAGGGTGCTAACAAGTTGATGTTGATCTTTTCATTTGAGCATAGCCATCTTGAGCATGTGACTTGATTCTATTCATCAAATTTGAATAACCCCAAATGTATCAAGTCACTTCTATCAAATACTTCATTATAGATTTGATTCTTCACATCAATATGACCATCTTAGCTTGATTAGTACCTCAACTAAATGCAAGTACTTTCTTCTTCACCCTAGCTAGGTTCTTCGGCCGCCAAGCCGTCGCTTGCCCTTCACCCTTGCTTAGTACCTCGAAGCCTTTCCTTGCTATCTTCACCATCTCAAGCCATCAAGTCACATCTTGTGTTGAATCATCCATTCATATGTATTGTTATCTTTTTCATTTTAATTTAGCAAGCTTCAAATATGAGACCATTCCATATGCAATCCCTCATGTCTCATTAACTAATAATCATGAGCTTGCTTTCACATAGTACATGGAAATCCCCCAAAAAATAAGCCTTCACATGAATTCCATTTGCATTGTTGTCTTGTGCTCGAACTAGATTGTTTATACAACAACACATCATTTTGGCTTTCATTAAGTACCTGTGAGATAACCTATTGCCTGTTCACACTTAGCAAACGGGTTAGTCCTTTAATCACGTTGTCATTCAATAAACCAAAACCCACTAAAGGGCTAGATGCACTTTCAGGTGTATAAAAAGCCAGGAGAGCACCTGACGGCCCTCTCGCTCTGTGCAGAGGCTAGGGGGCTCTTCCTACAAGATTGCCGAGACCCAGCGACCCGAACTCGCATTCATAGGCCTAGCAAGCACGATAAAACTCCTTGCTCAAATGGAGAAAAAAGCCCCTGGAGGAGTAAACCCACTCGTTCAGGGCCTCGGGGGCTACACCCGGCGGGTGATCTCGCGCGCACCCACCGGAACCACCAAGTACAAAACACGATCCCGACAGGAGCTGTTGCGAACCAAGTCTTGTCAAAACCTCAGGAGAGTGCCCGCACTCCTCCCGAGGCTCGGGGGCTACTATCGGATACCACAAGAAGGGCTACCCTAAGCAAGAACCAAAAATGTCGCTTAAACCTTGCAAAAATCAAAGCCAAAAGACTACCGCCAGGTCTCTGCAGAATTCTCTGATTCGCTCGAGGCCTTGCACCGAGGCCTCAAATGAAAGGCCAAAAGCGCCCCACCGAGGCCCTCTCGCCGAGACCCTCTCGCCGAGGCCTCGCCCCGAAAGGCCTCGGATGGGATGCCAATTCTCCGATTCGCTCGAGGCCGGGCTCGGCAAACATACTCGTAACCTCCATCCCGACCAAACTCCTCTGACGAAACGTCACATCCAGATTAATGCGCCCAACTACTCCCGCAAACGTCAGCCGCACTCAGGTACAGTACGGGCAGAACGACCGACGGGACAGGGGACCGAGCGCGATAGGGGTTACCTGCCACTGTGCTCATCACTGTGCTATCTAACCCCTGTGCCAAGGACAAAGCAGCATGGAAGGTCAAGTCCATGTCCCTGTAGTCTCGGAAACCGCAGGAGAGCCCAACTGCTCGTTCTACGCCTCGTCCGAGACCCCCCGGTAGGGTCTCAGACGTACTATTCCTTCTCCGCCTCGGCCGAGGCCGGGCTCGTCCCGCATCCTCGTCGTCTCCACCTCAACTACCCCTCTGGCGGGCCATCCCATCCGTGTAAGTACCCCTGGTTGCGCCTACGTCAGCCACGATTGGTAGGGCATAGCAACAGGGGCGATGGGACGGCGGTCAAATCTCCTTTTTTACCATTCCCCACTGACGGTGCAGGGACTATCGTGCTTTGCGAACACACGCCCTGCATTTTTCCACCTAAACCGGATACGACGCTGACCACCGTGACCGCCGCATCGCACTCAGGTCACCTCCCAGGCCTCGGCAAATCAGGCCTCGGCGTGGCCGGCCACAAACACCTGCCAGGCCTCGGCGAACCACCAAGTCAAAAATTCACAAGGCACGGCATGTCACCTACATAGGAGGCCATGCTGACTAAACGTCAACGAGGACCCCTACGACTTCAATAGCCTCAGGCATGGCCGACATGACGCACCAGTGATCAAGTACCAATTGCCATTCCCGACATTGTGCTGCTACAGGAATAGGCCACAGTACTAGATCTTCCTTCCTCGCTAAGGCTCCACGTGTAGCTCTCTCATGTACTCCTGGCACCCTCTTTGTGGCTATAAAAGGAAGCAGCCAGGGCCGTTTCTATGGATCGAGACCACGCCGGCCCTCACGCGCAAAACGCACTCACTCAATTCATGCACGCTCCCACACTGCCTGAGAGCAACGACTCAAGCGGCCCGCACCACTCCACGCCGAGACCTGGGACTAGCTCCCTCTCTCACCCAGCTTGTAACCCCCTACTACAAGCACTTCGGTGCAAAGAATACAAGATCGATCTCCTAGACTGGACGTAGGGCACCGATTGCCTGAACCAGTATAAACCTTGTGTCTCTTTGCATCACCATCCGGGATTAGGGGCACGCAGTTCACATTTACTGGTTGGTTGAGGACCCCCCGGTCCGAAACACCGACACATGTGAAATATTTACAACAAACGCTTGCAACATATTTGTATAGCAACTGCAACATATGCAACATCCAGATAAAACACTTGTAACATATGTCTGAAATAGATGAAACAGAATAGACGCTTGCAACATACGTATATAGCCAGTGAAACATACACATCATCCAAATAAACACTTACAACATACGTCTAAAATAGATAAAATATTTAAAATATACACTTACAACATTCGTGTATAACCATTGCAACATGTGCAATATCTACAAGAAACACATACAATATTCGGATGAAACATATGAAACATACATCTAAACGCATGAAACATATGAAGCTCAATGCCATGGAGTATGCGGGGCCCGTGCTACTTCTCTCTCTGTTTGTCCTTCTCTCTCTGGTCACAGCGTATGCACAGCCCCCACACGCTACATGCACCCCACGCCGGGTGAGGCCGCATGCGCTACCCCACACCCCACGCTGAACAAGTGGTCGCACGAGCTCCCATGTTCTGCCCCGCGCCGCATGCACCCCACGCCGAATGAGTGGCCGCACACGCTCCCATGCGCTGCCCCACATAATAGACTGGTGCGGCCCCGCCTGGCTGCGCCGCTTTTTTTCTTGGACATCACGCGTGCGTAGGGGTTGGTTCGTCCGACGCCCTAAACCAACCGTTACAAAATTAATAAAATCTGAAACGTTTTAAGTTAAGACAACTCAGAATCTATTATATTTGAGGACCAGGGGAGTGTCTTAGACACTGTTCAATCAGACCAATGAAAGCATCTCAGCCTGTTCCAGGCCCACGTAAGTTTCTACTGGACCTTAACGAAACATCTTTCTCGTGGCCCAGGATCAGGCCCAGGCCCAGGCCCAGGCAAGCCTTCTCTTCTCCCGTTCACCTCCTCTCCCCACCTCTCGGCTACAGACTGGGCTACCGCCGCCGCCGCCCTACGCCAGTCGCCAGGTGCCCAGGCCTTCGCCGGCGACGAGCCCCCACCAGGTACGCGCACCCCTTCTCCTACCTTACGTTCCCTTCCCGCTGTGCGAAACCGAGCATCCAAACCCTGACCCAAGTCCGCCCCTGGTTCTTCAGCGCGCAAGATCAATCTCGCCAGCCGCGGTTGGCCAAATTGAAAGAGGATGGGGCAGGAGACGGAGGTGGCGGAGAAGGAGGTGGTGCAGTCGGTAAGCGACCTCCCGGTGCAGGACCCGCCAGGAGAGGAGTTCTCCGCTGCTGACCTCACCTGGGTCAAGTACGCCAGCTCCGAGCACCACCGGGACGACGTCGCCCTCATCCCCTACGACCGGATGGAGGCCTTCATCGGCGGCGAGAGCAACAACCCCGAGTGCCCCACGCGATTCCACATCGAGCGCGGCCGCAAGCGTGAGAGGGGCAGCCTCAGGGAGTACCGGAGCGACGAGTACCTCCTCTACAGGATGTACGTCTTCCCTGCCCTGCTCTGCTCAGCACACTCCTTTTTGACTCCCCCTCGATGGTTCTTTCTCACCGCCGCTTCCTAGAGCCAACCGATCTTGACCTGTGTTAGAGCTAATTCCAGGTATTGGTGCTCCTTTGGCCCTGAGAATTATGGGGAGGGAGGGACAATCTTGCCTAGCAGAAAGTACAGGCTCAACACGAGGAACCGTGCCGCGCGCCCGCAGTCGATGCGTGGCTGCACCTGCCATTTCACCGTCAAGAGGCTCTATGCCCGCCCTTCCCTGTTGCTCATCATCTACCACGAGAGGCGCCATGTTAACAAGTCCGGCTTCATATGCCACGGCCCCCTTGACAGGGATGCCATCGGGCCTGGCGCTAGGAAAATGCCCTACATTGGAAGTGAAATCCAGCAGCAGACCATGTCATTGATCTACCTTGGTGTCCCAGAAGAGAACATACTGCAGACGCATATAGAAGGCATACAGCGCTACTGTAGCGCGGATGCCCAGGTTGATAACCTTGCCTCGCAGTATGTCCAGAAACTAGGGATGATCATCAAGAGATCGACACATGAGTTGGATCTGGATGACCAAGCTAGCATCAGGATGTGGGTCGACAGGAATAAGAAATCTGTATTCTTCTACCAGGATTCAACTGAGGCAGATGCCTTCATCCTGGGGATTCAGACAGAATGGCAATTGCAGCAAATGATGCGCTTTGGTCATCAGAGTCTTTTGGCTTCTCATTCCTCATTTGGTGTAAGCAAGCTGAAGGTATCTTCCTTGCCTCCATTTCGAATAGTTATGCAAATATAATTTCAGATCAGTCTTCTATATTTTGATTGAAATGTCTAATTCTATCAGTAAGGACATGTCTCATGTTTTCTTTCACATTTTACTCTCCGTGGCAGTATCCGTTGCACACGCTCCTTGTATTTGACTCAAGGCAGCATGCTCTTCCTGTTGCATGGGTCATAACCCGCTCAGTTACTAACGAGGACACACTGAAATGGATGAGGGCACTTACTGATCGAATACATTCTATAGATTCCACCTGGAGAATTGGTGGTTTTATTATTGACGACCCGGCTTCAGAGCTGGGTCCAATCAGGTATGGCATTGGTTTGTAATTTTAGTTGTGAGTATCAACCCCTAATCATTTAAGCTGTAGACAGCAGTGCATTCCCATTGAGGTAAATGTGTCGTTGCTACAATAGTTTGTTGTCCTTGTTTCAGGGAGGTATTCGCCTGCCCAGTTTTGTTCTCTATGTGGCACATCAGAAGGACCTGGCTTAAAAATGTAATCAAGAAATGCAGCAATGTTGAGGTGCAGCGGGAAATTTTTATCCAACTTGGCAAAATCATATACAGTATCTGGAGTGAGAAAAACCCCATGGATGCCCTAGGGCAATTGTTTCAAGACTTTGTTGATCAAACAACGTTCATAAAATATTTCAAATCATTTTGGGTTCCCAAATTGGGTAAGAATTTCAACTAGTAATTTAGTAATATAGCTTGTCATGCAAATCCCTCTTGTACATGCTAATGACATTCCTTCTTGATAGAGATGTGGATTGACTCCATCAGAAATCTGCCACTGGCAAGTCAGGAATCATGCGGTGCCATTGAAGGTTACCATCTGAAGCTGAAGGTAAAAGCATACGATGATGCGCAGCTGGATGCTCTTCAACGGGTTGACTGGTTAGTGCATAAGCTCACAACAGAGCTGCATTCGAGCTACTGGATCAACTTATTTGCAGACGAAAGCGGATCATTTCCTGAGGTGAAAGCAGACTATATTGCATCCACGTCATGGCAAAGGGCATTGCAGATACCTGATGATGCTGTTACCTTTGATGACAAAGCGCCTCTTTTAGCCAGAGTGGTCAGCCAGAAGGATACCAGTCAGACATGGACTGTATGGAATCCCGGTTCTGAATTCTCTCTCTGCGATTGCTCATGGTCAATGCAGGGTAACCTATGCAAGCATGTGCTAAAGGTCAACATGATGTGCGGAGCACGCAAGGATTTTCAGCCCTCACTGACATTCCAGTCATTTCAGCATGTCCTACTTGATCTGTGGCAAAAACCATTGGATGATTCGTTCTCGCTCGACCTCTCGGTAGCATGGGTCATGCAGATGCAGGAGAAGATCAAACATGTAGCCGAGCTTGCCACCTCCGGTGGTATTGCCCAAGTTGCAGGGAAATTGCCGATTCAATGGACAAAAAAGAGAGGGAGAAGAGTAGCCGCCAAGCGCGCAAGCCCGTTACTTCTTCCTCATTCTAACGGCAGTTTGCAGAAGGACTTGACCCCAAAGAAGAGCAAGAAGAGGAAGAGGCTGTCTAGGTTTCCGGGGTAAAAGGCGCCGCCTACTCTTGTGGTCTCTCTGTAATTAGACGACTACTTTTCTTTTGCCCGGTGTATTCCATTTCCTCAATTGCCTTTGGGCTGAGTGGACTTGCTCAGCTACATGTAATCAGCTCCACTTCCCTATGTCTCCTAGTTCTAGGAACAACAGTTGTGCAGTCTGTAATAGGAAGCCACTGGATGGGTTTCTCACATTCCAGTAGGAATGTAGGATGCTGCAAAATTCCAATCTTATTCGTTTTGCTGGTGCAAAGCTTCCCTTTGAAACTTGTGATGATGTGCGGATTGAGTTGCTGCTCATTGCAACTTGCAAGTACTGGAGTTTAGCTGGAGGCTCCCAACTTAGCAAGGCGCTATCCCTAATTCCCTATCTGCAGATTTTATTTTAGTAAATGGTCCCGTTTTCATAAATTGCACTGTATGATTGGTCAGAAATCTAGTTGAGTATACTGAGCTAAAAAAATCATCTGGTTGTCACCTAGCCTGCTCCAGGACAAAGAAAAAAGAAAGTGTAATATGCGATGCGGTGGAACTTGTTCACCTGGTTAACCAGGACAAGCCTATATTTTTCTGAATTTGTTATTGTATTTCTGGATTTGCTATAGTATTTAGTAATGACTATTTGTCTAGTGGTAGACGATAATACCCATCAACATATTTTAGGATGGAGTGAGTAATGACTACTTGTCCAGTTGTAGATGATAATGCCCATAGACAGTGAGGATTAGTGTCTAGTGGTGATTTTGTCAATAGGACGGATGAAGTTGGGTTGGGTTGGGTATCTCCATGGCTGATTTTGCCAAAAAAAAAAGAAGCGCAATAGGTGGAAAAAAAAAAGAACGGCCCATGAAAAACGGCCCAGGCAAAGACCCGTGCGTTCACGCATCACACCTGCTTTTCTCCCGTTCACTCCCCCAGTCCCACGTGATCTCTCTCCCGGCGACGACTGGGCCACCGCCGCGGCCGCCATACGCCAGGCGCCAGGTCTTCCTCGGGCCCTTCGCCAGCGATGAGCACCCACCAGGTATGCCCTCCTCCCTCCCCTGCCTTCTGCGCGGAACGGAGCACCCAAACCCTAACTTAAGCTATTTGGTTATTTCGATATGCGGATCTGATCTCCGTAATTGAAGTGTAGCGTGTCACCATTAGTATTACGCCTGCTATAGCTTCGATTTCTTGCAAAAATCATCGGGTGTATCCATGTCCTTTACTGGGTGCACCCCTGGCTGTATGCGTCGGGATCGGCTGTTCTGCGCTTCATTTCGGTGTGTGCTAGACATCGACATCGCAAAATGCTAATGAGCGTCTCTCTCTTCTCGCAGGCCAATACGCTGCGGTTGTACCTCACCTGCATCCGGAACACTCTGGAGGCGGCGATGTGCCTCCAGGTTTTTTTTCCGCTTCAGCTATGAGGCTCCTGCTGCTGCTCCCAGTTCATCACGAGGCATAACATTGGTTGGTTTGTCTTTTTGTTTTGGTACCAGAATTTCCCTTGCCAAGAAGTGGAGAGGCACAACAAACCAGAGGTGGAGCTCAAGTAAGTCATGCTGCAGGCAGGCAATAATGATTGTTCAGTGCTCTTGTTTTTTTGGCACATGTGATTTGATTAAGACCAGGGCTCCAAACAGTTGTTAGTACAATGGTAGCCAGTTTCAGAACCAGGATTCCATGCAGGAAACCTTAGCCGGTGCCACGTTACGTTACGAAAAACACACTTCTCTTTCTTTTCATCTTTGGTGTATTTCTGGGCTCTGATGTACTTTGGGAGTTTGAGTTGATGTTTTGCCTCCATGGACCTTAACATGCAATGCTAGACCTATGCGTAACTGATTAACTTCATAGAGTGCAGATTGCAAAAGCTAAGAGAAAAGCATGCCTATTGTCCATTTATTTTTTATGATGCCTCTGTCTTTATTTTTCCTCTGGAACTAAGAACTCTTAAGCTTCATAATTCATACCCCATTCCATGTTGACTCCTATAAATAATAACACAAATTCTTTTTCTGCTTGTCAATTTCCTAAAGGCTCGTGGGTATACATTGTTTTGCCCTTACTAATCCATCTTCGTTTTTATTCTTATTCACAGGACAAGCCCTGAACTTCTGCTGATTCCGGTGAGGGAGACTTCTTTGACAGTATCTTAAATTCAGTTTACAATCCTTCATTATTGACCTTCATTTTCTTTTTGGAAACCATGTGTTCTAATATGTATGAGCTAACTACACCCAACTATGCAAAAAACGGAGAACTAATGATTGCAGTGCTGCCATTTTTAGTTGGAACAAGTGCGCTCTTATGATACTGTGCTAAGAATCCCGAACAGCTCTGTTTCATATTTAACATGCCTAAGTAAATTTAAGATTGATTACTCAATGCTGGATCTTCTTTTGACCTGCCATGGAATTTTCAATGATTTACGTTTTTTGTGAGAAAAAAGGTCGTCGATGTTGGTTGGAACATTTTTTTTTACCAAGATACCACTTAAGATGCCTACCCCAACTTGTTTGGGACTAAAAGGCTTTGTTGTTGTTGTTGTAAGATACCACTTAAGATAAGTTGGTTGTTGTTGCCAAACCAATTAATTATCTGTTTGCTTGTAGATGTAACTTGCATGATCTCTTATGCTTATTTGGAAGAGATTTATAAGTTTTGTTAATATTTTGAGAATTGTGACTCACACTCCTATATTTATCTACAGGTACTGATATGCCGCAATGAAGCAGAAAAATGCTTGATAGAGACTTCAATCAACTCTATACGTATAAGCATGAAGGTACTATGGAGAACTTTGTTGGATGTTTCAATGGTTATTGGGGTATCAGTGCTGCTATACATTTGACGTATTATTTGGACGCTACTGTGATTTGTTTGTGTTACAAATGTATACTTTGGTAACAAAATTGTTAGAAAATATTCCTGATACAAACTTAAAAGGTGGACCCAATGGCGCAATGTTTGGTGCCTGCTCACATATGTTGCATCTGCATATGTTTAATATGTTTTGTCATGCAACCATTTGCCATCTGGTATATATTCATAGCTTCCGATTGATCTGACAGGTTAAGCAGGCAGATGAATTGGAGAACATTCTTGCCAAGAAGTTCCTTAGGTTTTTGTCAATGAGGGCAGAGGCATTCCAAGTGTTGAGGAGAAAACCAGTTCAGGTATTACAGTTTCCAACTTACACTGATTACCTTGAGTAGTGTTTTATGTCTCCAGTAGGTCCTAGTAAACATGAACTATCTGTAAGTCACAGGGATACATCATTGTGAACAACTGGATGATGGACCATATTTTTGCTGACCTTTGTTGTACTAGATTTTTCTCTCTCCCTATCTTGCCATATTCCCACATAGAGATCAGTTTTATCAACATAACTGCTCATCCCTTTGGAAATCCAAATTGTTTACGATTGAACTGGCATGACTAAGTATATGCCTTATGTTTCAGGGTTATGATATCAGTTTCCTAATAACAAACTACCATTGTGAGGACATGCATAAGCACAAGCTCATAGATTTCATCGTGCAATTTATGGAGGTAAGTTGACATGCATAAGCATAGGCATGGCTTTTAGTTTGTTGCTTTTACACTTGCCCTGTTCGGTTCGCTGGAATTTGGCTTATACTGATGCTTATGCTGAAATGCTGTGAGAGGAAAACACTGTTGTTTCGCTGAAAAACACTGTTGGTTGATAGATGCAACATTGAATGTTGGCGCATATATGCGTACTACTACTCATACTCACATCATTCTACTTACATGAACCCCAGGATATTGACAAGGAGATCAGTGAGCTGAAGCTGTCAGTAAACACTCGTGGCCGGCTAGTGGCGACTGAATTCTTGAAGCAGTTCATATGACTCGGGCCACAGCAGTAGTCAGTGTTGATTATCACAGCCTGTAACTACGCTGCTGTTCTACAGCAGCTTAAGTTGTCTTTACTCATTTTTTTGGTTGAGCAGGAGCTCCTGTAAATGCCTTGCGAAAGATGCATTCTTGGCTTTGGACCACCTGATTAGCAGCTGACAATTGCAGTCTCAGTACGCATATAGCGAACTGTAATTGTTTGAGCAAATCTTCGCCCTGTTCGTTTGGACTTGTTTGGCTTATAAGCTGTACTTTTTCAGTCAACGAACAGTATTTTTCTCTCACACCAAATCAATCAACAATACTTTTAGTCATGACTTATCAGCTACACAAGCCCAAACGACTAGGGTGCTTGTGTTTTTTTCCTTTCACTTAGAAAGGAGAGCTGATGTACACAGCATTGTTCCCCTTGGCACGAAGCCATAACATTGACTTTGGCCCTATTCGGTGGAGCTCTGGATGGTTCCGGCTCCTTTGGGCACTATAGCAGGAGATCCATTTTGATCTTATTTTTTCCTCAAAATAAACTAGTAGCTGGTGAAGTTTTTTTTTTCTTCAACAGTGTCGACTCCTTTGTGCACTATAGAAAGGAGAATAGGGCTGCTGGATATGGTCAAAACTTTGTGGAGGCCAGAGCAGTGGCCGTCCATCCACGGTTGGACAGATTCAAAAATCAGAAGTACGACAATTGACTTTTCTGCTAAATTCAAAAGTTCAGTCGTTTTTTCAGGCCAGTTTGGTTCATTCACGGTTCAATTTCAGGACACAGCCCCTCTTCGTTCTCAAATCACAACCTGCCTAACATGCCACTCCAATTTTTTCAAGCACATTCTGGGTGCCTTCGCTACCAAATTCCTCGAGTACGTCCCATCGTTCCTAGTTCTTACATCATGTACCTCCATCCATCAAAAAAAAGGAAGAAACAGAAACTCTAAAATACACGCTGCATCCATACATCAACAAGATCATAAGTTAAGAACAACATGGACGTCAAGAATCACATGGACAAGCCGAAATTTAGAACCACGGCATGTAATCATTCAGAACCGGGCAAGTCCTTGGCTATCTGACGCCATCTGGTAAGAGTCTCGCTAACAAACAACTGAAGCTGCATGTCCCAGCTTATGGCTTAGACTCTGCTAAGTAGCTGAGTCTGCAGAATCTGGTTGTCTTCCAGCAACCGGTCGTACTCCAGGAGCAGCTCCTCCGACTGCTTCTGCAGAGCGTTGACATGGGCCTCTGCTACCGATGCCTTCGTCTCATGCTCTTCCGTCTCAGATTTCAGCTTCTTCATGCTCTCATTCAGCTTCGCAATCTCTCGCTGAAGCTTCTTCGTTTCGCTGGAGGATTTCTCCTCCTTTTCACGGAGGGACCGGTTCTCCATCTGAAGTTTCTCAACCTCCTCTCTGGATGTGCTGGATGTTTTCCTCAGTGTCATCAGCTTTCGGAGGTAGTGGTGCAACCGATCAATTACAAATGCAAGGAATAGAGTGTATCCTACAAGGAGAAAGAAAATGTATGAGAAACAAAATGCCAGATTTAATTATTAAAGAGATTATACGTTACTTTTCAGAAAGAGAAAACAACACTGTGTAGAGCTAAAAATGTATATGTTCGACATCCCCATCAAAGTATAGGTTCAATGGTAACTTCAAATATCCCCTGAGGCCTACTTTTGCCATTTTAGGTATGATCTCTATGATAAACGAAAAGTTAAAAAAGGAAAAGTAAAGAAAGAGAAGACTATATTGAACCAACAGCTTCAAAAAAGCCAGAGAGTATTCTGCTTAAACCATGCTGTCAGTCACTTTATTGCCATGGACCCGCTTGTGTGCTGGAGCATTGGTCATAAGTGCAATTTGTGAATTAATATCTGAACATGCAGACAATCTACCTTTACAATTGTACACTTGTACCCTGTGGATCTACAACTTCACAACTAAATACACCAATATCAACTCTAATTTTTTTTTCTCAAATACGCAGGAGAGTTGCGTATCTTTATATTTAAGAGAGGAAAAAAACAGTCCGTTACAAAATTAACCTCCTTACTCCGGATCGGTAGCTAAATAAGCACAGTATCCCCATAAACAGGTAGAAATTTTATTCCATGCCTTAGCATTTGGAATACATACAAATATATCAAAATAATCTTAAGTCACCAACCAGCTTTGGATATAAGTGAATGGAAATCGACAATCCACGTGTCCGAACCATGACCTAAGCTATCAGTCCCCTTTTGCTGTTATTATTACTACTACAATTACTATACCGATTTTCTCTTTTGTATTATTTTAGCAGATCCTAAATTGTCACGTATGAAACAGATTCTCAAAACCAATACTGAAGCTTCTCTATTAATTCCCCCAAAAGCTAAACTTTTTAGCTTATGCATCATAATTCTTAAAAAGTAAGTTATAACTGAGATTACTAACCCAAAGCGTGCCAAAGCGGTACTTAACTGAGATCACTAACTAAAGCAAACAGTACTAGAGTAATTACAAAGGGTGTAGATTTGGTTTGGGGACAAACGTTACATTGAGAACTCACCTTATCTGGCATCTCCTTAACATTACTGAGTAAGACAGTACCCTTCCTATATTCTACATACAAACTCATGTCCTTATTCTAGCCTGCTATTTCAAAGACAACATTTCAAGTCTTAAATCTTTATCAGACACCCTAGAAAACTTGGAACTGACAGTAAGCAGGAAGTCATCCATACCAAGAACTTGTACAAAGATGCTACTTGATGTATTGCACTAAAGCAAAAACAAATTTGCCACTGGATAACATATTTTCCTTTGGAGGGTAAGGATAGCTTAATTTCATTTTCAGCTAAAACGACTATAGTTAAATTCCAACAAAACGAAACAATGACTGAAGATAAAAAATTATTACTACAATGGGAGCAAGAAACAACAAGTCATTGCAATGCAACCCAATGGGAGTTCTTATAATATTCTAATAGACTATTATAACCTACTATTCTTGAACAGTTGACTATCCAGGTAAACAAAGGAGGTGACCACTGTCTACTGCTACTACTAAATAGTGTTTATAAAAGCAGTAATCCTTAATGGTAAAGTAAGACCCTAGCATTCTAGATTTCAGACTAGGCAAGACCTTGGGTCCAATCCAAAATGTGGATCACAGAGCCTGCAATTTCTGCCCTTCGAGAATGAGCTCTAAATTGGCAACTGAATCAAGAAACATTAGGTGTTAGATTTCTACCTTGTCTACCACCTACGCATTTGAGCAACAATCAGCCAATCACTACTGCATCAAAGCATCCATACCACTAGCCCATTAATAATCTTTCTAAAAAACCACTTGGCAATGCTAGCTACTGACATTAAGCCGCGAGTTAGGAATAACCAAGGACGGACGGAGTCGGAATGCTCACCGATGAGGGATGCCTCGAGAAGGTGCGTCCTCCAGAGCACCTGGTCCATGGGGCTGACGGTGCCGAGCTTGAACCCCCTATTCTGGATCTTGAGGATGCTGGCGACGTTGGACATGAGGATGACCGAGAGCGTGCACGCCAGCGTCTTGACGGTGGCCGGGCCCTTGCCCGTCTTCACCTGGTCCACGCCGCGCATCGCCAGCTCCCGCAGCGGGCCGACCTTCACCATGAGGAGCAGCGCCACCGCGCCCTCCGCGAACAGCACGAGGAACAGCAGGTGAATCATACCGACCGGTCGCCGCCGCTGCTCCCTCCCCCCAATCTGCTACGATTCTTCGATCGGACCTTGGTCCAGAAAAAAAAAAAGGCAGCGGGGTTTCAGCGAAACAGCCGGCCTCGCTTCCTTCCTTTCTTCAGCGCCCAACTGGAATGGAGCTGCGGAGGTTTGCGGCGTCGGAAAATCAGAAATTTGGTGGGGAGAGAGATTGGAGACGACGGGCAGGAAATGAAATCGCCACCTTTTCTTGGCCTGCGAAAAGGTGAGCCGTCAGAAGGCCTGGCCAGACCGAGAAGGAAAAGGGGAAGCAAACGGAAATTTTCCCAGGGGAATGACGAAAGGAGCAGCTCACCTTGCCCCAAAACCAGGCGAAGAACTCGGAGCAATGAAAGAATAAGTGTTAGAGCAAAAGACGGCGGCGAAAGGCGACGGGGAGGGGACGGAGGCGTGCAGTGTGGGAGTGAGAGAGTGTTCGAGTCTTTTCTTTTCTTTTGGATTAACAATGGCGCTTAGCATGCAGCCCCGAAAGTCTCCCCCGACAAGCTTTGCTTTCTTCCAAGGGAATTTAAAAAGTTACGGCAATGCATTTGCATCTTTTTATTGGAGCAGCCTTTTTACTACTTTGTCATGTCATGTAAAAAATGGGTGCAATGAGACTAAAAAAATGGATGTAATTTATTTTCTTTTTAAATAGAGAATGGATGGAATTTAATTATATCTTTTTGGCCGTTTTGCTACAGGGGAAAAAAGAGAACAAGAAAAGGGTACTAGTTCGAGTTCCCCTCGCAGGGGAAAAAATGGATTTTGTGGGCTAAAAAATAGGCATTTAGTTCACTGAAAATCTTCCGTTTAGGCCTTTAGGGTTCAGGTACAGCAGTGACCATTGTATTATATTTTATTTTATTCTATTTTTTAAGAGAGTGGGTGTAGGTGTATTCAGCGTGGTCGCTGGGCTGGCTGGCCGGTGCTGACCAGTCCACTCGTATAAACAGTATCTTTTAGTTAGAACAGTATTTTTCTCTTATATCAAATCAGTGTCGATGTGGGACCCACAGAATACCCCGCAAGGGAGAGAAAAGATTTAATTCAACTAGGATTCTTCCCATGTAGTCTTAGTAATAGAACTATTAAGTAATCATACTAAGAAATCTCATTGTAAATCAACTAGGACTCTGGCCTCCTGACTATATAAAGGAGGGCAGGGCTCCTGAGAGAGGACGACAATTGTACAACATAACACTTCATAATCAATCCAACGCAAAGGCTAACGCTTATTTGGGCGTAAAATCGAGTTACTCGATCTACGATCG